AATATCACCTAAGTGATCTAAGTGATCTAACCTCTACAGAAAACATTTCTGCGCTATATATATCTCACATTTATATATAAATATCACCTAAGTGATCACTTTTTGGGCTTTTTTGATTACCAAAAATTGTCAGAGCATGGCTGTCTTCTATACAGGTATATACAGTTTATTGTGAATCTGAGTTTTCCTGTCACAGACATTTTTTTAATCGTGCATTTTTACAGAAGAGCAGCTGCACTCCGATAATCTGACCAGCAAATGTAATCTAAGACATTTGCAATGATGTTTTTCCGATGTTATAAACAAAAATACTGGTTTTTGCCTTACTGGTGCTTAAGGTTTACCCTTTCTAACTGTTTTTATAAATATTGCTTTTTCAGATAAAGTAATGATGTTCTAGTCCTGGGAACGCTGATGAGATGAGTTGATTTTGCTTCTAAGTGCCTTGGTTTGTAATCTTCCAGAAACATATTTCTGAATAATTCTTATTTTTACAGTTGTGATCCTATGACAAGGTTTTCACTTGCAGTTCTTAGCTGCGTAAACAGAAGAATGTCAGCAGTCAAAGGTGATGAATTTTATAGGCCACTGATGGTACCCTATTGAAAGTGATTCTATGAAAAGCCCTAGAAATAGTGACAGTAGAAAACATTTCACCAGGATATGTTTAGAATCTATTTTAGGTTGATTTATTCAAAGAAGATACAATATGCAGCTGAACCTCAGAAGTTTTGAAAGACTGGAAAGGAGTGTGTTCATCATGGAGGAGTACACACAATAATAACCTCCTTGCTTGGGGATGATTAGATGCTACTTTAAAGGTTTGTCTATTGCTTATGTCTCAAATTCAAAACCAGTATTTCTATTCTATAAAAGGACAACCTACGGCACAAGGTAAAGTAACTTGAGTGTAAAAGTTCTACACAATTTTTTTTCTTGCCTTCTGTTTCTGTCCTTCTAGACAGGCCTGAGTACATGTTTAAATTAGTAGCCTTAATTTAAAAAGAGGTGTGATAGTTAGCATTAATAAGAATACATAATTTAAACGCAAAGCAAAAATATTTTTGGCAAGATTCCTTTTCTAGTTGCATTACTCCAAAGGAATTAACTAAATCAAAGTATGCTGAAAAGTGTTTATGTCTCAATGTTTACTGAAACAAGAGTCAGATCCTTTGTAAAAAATTGGCATGTTTCCCAATTCTTAGCTTACTGAAAGAAATGCGTAATTTAAATTTTTGCTAGTTATTTTAAAGAAGTGTCTTGAGGTCCTAACTGGGACTAAAAGAATTTTCTTTTCAAGCTGCATGTGATATGATATGTGGAATACAACATAAGGAGTATAAGCAGAGACTGTAATGTCAAGTACAAGAGAATTTAAACAAGGCTATTTTTTCTGTACATTAAATTATAAGGTAGACCTGAAGCTTCACATATATCTTTAAGATAAATAATGGACTTAATTACAAATTGGAAATGCTTTTGGTTCAACCCCACCAAAAAGGGTATTCTTCCCTCTGTTCTTGGTCCTGTATCAAATGCCTGTTCACATTCTAACCCATTTTATCAATGCCTCCTTTTTCCTCCTGTAATACTGTTTGTATTCACAGTTTAGTTGTTGCCATTCCGCTTGTTTATATAGCATTCCATATGAAATATCTCACAACAGTTTCTACTTCATACCTAAAGAATTCCCCCTTAATTGCAGCAGTTCTTAATATTATCAAAAGCATGCTAAACACAACAGGTTAAAACAAGAAATGAAGACTACAGCTGATACTGCAGGAAAAATCTGTGTAGGCAGAAGTAGTCATCACAGATGGGATTCATTCATACCGCTGCTAGTTCTACCACCCACAGAATCCCTATTACCATTTCCTAGCAAACACACTTCATTGGCTCTGAAGAAATCGCTGTTGTCTGTTCAAGCAGATAGCTGAAGTTACTGAGACGATATGGATGTAAAATAGTCGTGTCAATTAAAAAAAAAGTTACTTTATGTTTTTGAAGTTTATAGTAATTAAAAGTGTCTTTTCATTTGATGACAACAATAATGTAACTTGATTTAAAGAACCACTTCCAAATTTATCCTTTATTACTAAAAGTATTCTTCCTGCAAGCATTGAGCATTAGGATACTGTGGTACTGTTGTTCTCCCCATTCCCTACTTCTTTGTTTGTTTGCCCCAATTAATTGATACTATGAATTGAGAAAGCAATGTGCTCTCACAAAGGAAGCAAGCAAGGTTCTGCCTTTTTGCTGAAGCACCAGCTGACATTCCTGATTTGTATACAGGGTGGAGTTCTGCATTCTTTCTGTTCCTGTGAGTGTTGACAGTGATGACAGCTCTTATGGGAGAGACAGTGCTTTGATCATGTGCGTAGCTGGGTATGAGGGGGAAACTTGCATTAAATTATTGTAAGGGACACAATGACTTAGGAAAGCTAGGTGAGTGAATAAGAAGCTGGAAATTCTGATTTTTTCTGAAAAAGAAAAAAAAAGCTGTTGTGCCAAATGCAAGTTATAAAGCAGCTTTGCTGTCAACAGGATCAGGACATGGATCCAAATTAAAACAGAAAAAAAAACCCCAAGTGCTTGTTTTGTTGTTTTAGAGGGGGAAAAACACTAAAATTATGAAAAACTGCCTGATGTGATTCACAAATATTTGTATCAGCACAACTATGAGGAGCAAGACACTGTGGTATAAGGGTGGAAACTCCACAGGCTGGTACAGCTGCCAGAGTACTCCTACTGTTAAACCGCAACCAAAGAAATCCTAGTACCCTTAGCAGAATTTAATTAAAACGCCCAAATAAGCCATTATTGTGGTGGTCAGTTCATTTTGAGTTAGGGGAGAGTAATTGTTTCCAAGTAGTTTGCCTGCAGCAGTGGAGTAGGCTGCAGGAATTTTCTTGTTTATGACTTCTTCATAAATTACCCAGAGTCACATGGCTTTATATTCTTAAAAGCAAAGAGAATATTAAGTTGCTAAACATTAGTTGCTAAAGGTCATGGAATTATAGTATGAAGAGCTTGCTGTTCAAGCACGATCTTGTCACTTCTTGTTCCTCCATTTACAGAATTGTTAACCAACATATTTAATGCCTCAGGGAATCTCCATCTTACTATTCTTTCCTTCCTAGTAGCTTTACAGATTTCCGTGAATGAAACAATAGAGATTTCACAAGTTGATTTCCTCGCTTAGTTTCATTTCAGCCATCTGGTGGTGATGTCACATATAATCACCTGTGTCTAACAAGCACCTGATTTCCTTCCTTGGGGACTGAAAGTACAATACACACATACATACCAGCTCTGTATCAGGCTGTATTTGTACTACAAACAGCAGTTTGCTATCATGATTCAGATAAATAGGAGACTAGTTCAGCTGTTTTAGTTACTTTAGATCATTTCCTGCAGCTTTACTCATCCTCCCAATTAACATGAATACACATTTGGGGTTTTTTCCAAGTTAGCCATTAAAGAGGTTAAGTAGGTTGGGCCCTGTGACTAATGTTTCCTTGGCTCTGACTGCATTTTGCTGCTCCCCTAGAGTATTCCATAATACGTCATTAGCATGCAGGGATACTCTGAGATTCCTAATTGTAGGACAACACTTGAAAATGTTCTAGAAATCTCAGAGCTCCACAATGAGAAATCCTGGCCATAAGACACAGCATGGAGGGGCAAATACAGAAGTACTTGTACTGTAAAAAGACCACGTCTTGCATTAGCATTGTCATTATTAATACAGCTCCCTACTGCTGAGCTTTCATGTTCTGTATTGATTAAAAAAAAAAAATAAATTACCAGTGCCACAGCAAAACTTGGCCAAGGTGGTGCTGCAGTAATTGGATGAGGCTTTTCAACCCCTATAGGAGTTTGTTCTTGCACTAACATTGCAAAGGTAGCAAACTCTCAGGTTTTGTCACTGCTGATGCCTTATTCCAGGCAACAAATGAAAAATGCAATTGCTGAACTATTTTACTACACAAAGTTTAAATGTAATCCTCTTGTTTTAGAAATGTCAGCAATATAAAGAGGCAGCAGTTAAATGGAAACAGCACAATCTGTCAATGAGATTTTACTACACAAAGTTTAAATGTAATCCTCTTTTAGAAATGTCAGCAATATAAAGAGGCAGCAATTAAATGGAAACAGCACAATCTGTCAATGAACGGTAAGCATTTCCCCCACCAGTGTTTAATTGTGAATCATGATGAATATTACCTCCATGGATTAAAGTCCTGATCTTAAACAGTCATTTGCATAGAAAATGGGTTTGTTCAGGAGCTGAGGCTTGTCTATAGAGGTACTTCCCTGGAACAAGAAAAGCTTTTTGTTTTAAGTTAGCTTTAGAAATTGCCTTAGATAAATTAGGAAAAAAGGTGCACATTCTGAAACAAGAGTATTCACTTCAAGGGTACTCCTTTGCAGTGCTTCTCTACCTATGGCTACGCCAGATGCTGGTGCTGCAAAGAAAACTGATTACTCCTTCCACACCTCACTGTACATAAGAAATGGCACTTCTAATGCCCTAGTTAACTTTTTCCTCTACTGTCTTTTATACTACCTGGTATGCTTCAGCTTAAAGGAGCAGAAAGCATACAGATAGTACTACAGGTGTTACACATTGTGGGTTTGAATCAAGCCACTGACTGAAAGTTAATTTCCTCCTGTATCCTACTCAAGTAAAGAAAAAAAATGTTTAAACATAAACACCGGTTTTACCTTTGACCTTTTGCAGATATTTGTGTGTTAAAAATCACAAACAGGAATATTCTTCTGCAATCTTCATAGAAATTTCTACCAGAGATGCACTAATGGAAGAACCAGTTGCAGGCAGCATTATTTCAGTAGAAATTGTGGTTTTCATAACCCAGACACTGCTGCCTGTATGTACTTTCTTTCCCTACTAGCAAATCAAGCAAGACAGATACCAAGAAACATTAAGAGTTGAAGTTAGTTAAGTTTACCTAAAAGTGCAGTTAACTGTGCTCCAAGGGCAGGTTAGCAGAAGCTCCTTTTGCTTTTCAATTAGCATCTAGGAGATAAGACAGCATGTTGATAGAGCTCAGTCCCAGTGTGCTAGGCTTTAGCTAAGGTGAAGCAAATCCTGCAGTGATTAATGTTTTTTCCCTAGCTTGTTTTCCTGAGCTCTGTAATTGAAAATTGTTAAAGCAGGTCATTTGAAGTATGTGTAGTATCTAAGGAACTACAACTTAGTGATCATAAATTTGCATTACAAATGCATGTATAGCTCCCTACCTGGCATAAATTTTCAATCTGAACCACTTATTAACTGTACCACAATTCTGACCCACCCTGTAATCACCACTGGCCTAGTACCTGTTCATTTGAAGCTCCATTTTCTAGTTTTTGTTCTTTGTTCCCTTCTTCTGGATGCTTTTCGTTTTATGTAAGAAACAAATATTGAGTTCTTTCTACTTCTCATTCATTCTGCTGTGAGGAAACACTGGAAAACCCATATAGCAATGATGAAAGTGATGAAAGAATCAGCTAAAGTTTATCAAGGGAAGATGCAACAAGGAAAACTGCGGAAGAAATGTCAAGAATGCATAGAAGAAAGATGTCACCTATTCTTTTCAATTTAAATAATGCCTTTTTTAAAAAAGCTTTCTGAGGAATATGACTGGTAATTTTACTCTACTCATAGCAGTTATAGCTATTAATTAAATAATGCCTTTTTTAAAAAAGCTTTCTGAGAAATATGACTGGTAATTTTACTCATAGCAGTTATAGCTATTAGGCTTAAGCAGAAGTGTAAATTTTGAAGAAATTAAAGGCAACACAGTGTTTGGAATGTTTACCATGCTTATCATCAGCAGGTAAGGTTATCAAGCTCCTGAGTATACAAATACAAAACATTTAAGTTACGGCCAAATACCGCAGTCAGGGAGATTGAAAAGCAAAATTTTAATCAAGCTGAAAGATTTAAGATAGTTTCAGTGAAATAGTTAAAAAGATGTACGTAAGCATTAAGTCATTAAAATGACTTAAGTCTCAATCTTCTCAAAAGCAGATTAAGCTAAATTTAACAAACATGACATGAAGTCCAATTTTGGTTTTATACAGTATGTATCCTTGGTACAGAATTCAGAACGCACAGTTCTGAAAACTTGATTTTCCTAAGATAGTAGCGTCGCCAAAATACATCCTAGCTATGGAGTTACTTTAACAGCTATCTGCAAAACCCATTAATGGCCCATCCTAGTAATTACAAATATTACTTCTAAATTTTCAGGGAAAAGTCAGTTAAATATTTGTTTATGCTCATTAACTGCTGCCACAGTGCATGATTTCACTATTACCTTTAAACTCCAAGATTTCCATAAGCTCAAATGGCAGATGAGGGCCCATGTAATAGCAAATTTCTCATATGATATGGGCACGTTCTTACTTACTGCTTTGCAAAATTTCTGACTACAGGAAGAAATAACAGAATAATTCCTTAGCTCTAATGAATATGAAGGACAATACAAGGTAGTTGCCAATAATGTACTTTTTAAAAACCTCTGTGAACATTTTGCATGGTGTTTTAATAACAATACAGCTTTTGCTTTTAAACCTTGCAGAACTAAAACTCTTAAAAAAATTAAGATTTTAAAAATAACTTTTTGTATCCTTAATTATTGTACCACAAGTTGACAAAAAGCTGAGAATTAAGTCCTCAACATTTGGCATACTATTAGACAACATTTTAAAAGTAAATGGAGTATTTCAAAAATTCTAGCCAAAAAAAGATGTAATTTTTTTAAAAAAGAAGCTTAATGCTATTGTAAGAAATGTTGGCCAATTCTGTCAAGAAGTTTAGTTATAGAAATTTGGTCTTTTTCAAAGTGCTATTGGAAGGGTTTAACATGGAACTTGCAGGAACTGTAGAAACAAAAAATGCTTATTCTAAAAATTAGGTTAACAATACACTCCAGCATACTTTGTCCAACATGTTTAATTCCTTGTTGCTCAACGGATTTATTCTTTCTCTAATTACAGCAGATGGATCAGATGCAGTTTTAGAATTAATTTCCCTATGGTTGTAACTTGCTTCATTTACAGTAAAGATGACGAACCACCAAATTCATACTCCAAGAAGAGAAGAGGTCTTTAATGATGGCCAGCACCAGAGGACTCTGAAATAAAGACACGATTTAGACTGTTCAAAGAAAATTCAGGAACATAGTTCAGAACCTAGAGCAGACAACTGTATCTACATCTGAGCACAAGAATTGGCAGATTCAACTGCCCTGTCAAATAAAACGAAATCCTCGAGCTACATACATAAACTTGGCCAATAATAAAACTCCTCTTTCTCAAGTTTTAAAGCACCATTATAGGCAAACATCCATTCTTCCTCATTTTTACTATGGTTCTTTCTAAATTAAAGTTTATTTATGCTATTATTATTAAGTCTACCAGGCAGTATTTTCACTAATTACACATTTAAAAATGTAAACAATGTTTGCATATACAAATTCAACTGGGAGCAAATGGGCTAACTATCATGGTGCAGGAAGTTAACTGGGATATAGCAGCTCATGAAAAATTAAAATCCAATGTGATGTCCCAATAAATTGTCCCTAAGTATCTAAACAGTACTTTACAGAAGATACAAAAATATGAATTCAAAATACAAGTTTAAACTTTTTAGTTTCTTGACAGCTAAAATAGCAGCTACTCTTGAGATCATGCTGATTTAAGTAGTTCCATTAAATGGTCGTTACTATTATTTAAAAGAATTCTTCCTCACCCGACTAAGGCATACAACTTCCATTCTACTCCTAAAACCTAGGCAAAGGACAATTTAAGACAGGGGTAGTGTCTGTGCAAATTGACAGATGTTTATAAAACCATCCATACAACCAAAACTACACATTTTGAAGTAGTCTTTAAACATTTTCTAAGTAATTTAAACCCCAAGCTTACATAAAACATGCGGAGCTCATTTTTACTGCACTCATTTAAAAATCCAACAGGGTATAAGATATTTAATACTTACTATCTGCCACAGCTTTTTTGCCTGGAAAAAAAGAAAAAACAAGCTGAACAATGACAGTTTAAAAAAATATTTCCTCTTTATTTTCTGCAGATAAACTTCAATTAGATTATAGTACTTATGATTTGCTAATTTAGCTTGAACAAGATTTAAAAACTGTACAACATGTACTTTCCATGGTACATGTCAATAAACGTTATATTGATTTTTTTTTTAGAAGTTGTTTGTTTTTAATTAACCAAGACTCCATGCATTTAGAAATTGGAGCCATCAAGACTCCTACTGTAATCTGAAAGAAATGCATATAGAATGGTATTACTTTATGTATTATATGGATATATATACACAACATACAGATGTAAACTGAAGTAATAAGAATATAGTTTGAAATCTTCCTTTGAAAGTAAAATAGCTTATGTTACATTCCCATTGTAATTGTTCTCCTAAAATACTGATTCACAGTGATCACATAAAAATAGACGTAAAAAATTCTTCATAAGGAAGACAGTCATAAGAGACTGTGCAATCTACACCCTTGGAAATAACTAATTTGAATTATGAGTAAGGCCATGAGCAACCTATCTAACTTCAATCTAACTACTTAAGCAGTGGTTTGGACCAGGTGAGCTCAAGAGGTTCCTTCCAATCCAAGTTATTCTACAACATACTCTTCTATAAAATATATGTTATTTGCCAAACTGTTCCCCAAACTGTGGAAAGGGCTACAGCTATTAAAAGCTATTTTCGCTTTAAAATAATGCTTAGCATAGTCGCCTCATATCAAGGTTTTGGCCCTCAAAACCCTACACCACCACATCTATTATCTAAATCATAAATGAAAATAAAAGTAACATGACATGGATACAATCGTGAAACAGTCTGTCAATTCTGAATTTTCCTTGAAATTGAAGCAGCAAAAACCTATTTTTTTTCCTCTCTTGACTGATCACCTACTTATCTTTACTTAGGCTTGTAAGTATAGCATAACAGTTACGGACATGCTACAAATGATTTGGACAAAACTAGAGAAATGTTGAGGTAACATCACTCAGCTGTTCCTACAGTGGAAGATTCCTTTCCCTGTAGGGTTTCTCTACAGTTTACACGATTTCATTGTTCATGACAGCTAGTGAAGGGTTTGACTTGGAATTTTTTCAGCATAGCCTAAACTGAAGGACAGGACCTTTAAGACACCCTAATCTGTTGTAACCTTCTGCTTTGAGGCACCTGGTGCACTCAAGTTTATTATTTTTACATTAGATGTTCTGTTTCTTCCTCCTCACATTTTGAGGTGCATCACCCCAAAATAAACCAAGTGCTTTAACTTTCAAAAGTTCACATGAGAAAACCTTTTAAAAACTGTGGGATTTTTTGCAGATCTTGAGTAAAATCTCAAAATCATAAGGATTCTAAAAAAAAATTCTAATCAAAGTAAGTTCTAGTTCAGAACAGTCTTGCATCCCCCTTCAGGACAAATCTACAGGAGAAGCCTCTGGCTATATGTTGTAAGTTAGATGTGTGGTTTTAAAACCAATTCCCGCATTACCTAAGGTAGGCACAGTTACAGGTATCTGAGTATTTTTGTTAGTGTAATCTTCTACACTGAGCACACTGAAACTTCTACGTTTTTATGGCAAAGACCTGGCCTTAAGTGTGTTGATTTCTTATTTGCTCGATATTTTAAATGACTGATTTCCAATTGTTAAGGATATTCTCATCTATAAACCTTATCCATACAGTAACAGCTAATGAAGGCTATAATGTGTAACTTACCACCATATGAAATTTTGTAATAAGCATAAGCTGTTATTGCTACACCAACCCATATTTCTTGATACACAGTTGTGAAGTAGAACTTCATGGCTCTCAGTGACTTCGGAAGCATGGTCTGCATCATCTGAAAACTGTAAGAAGTTTTGCCATGGTGAGTTTTGCAACTGTATTCCCACCTGCTGTATTTTTTAATATACACACACACACACACATATATATACATACTCCCAAACATGCAAAAGTACTCATTCCAAAGCAAAGCAATGAAAATTCAGAGTTAAGGTTACAATTTATGGGCTAAGACAATAAAAAATAATAAATTACAGCTGATGAAAGGTTCAAAGATGATTCAATAGAGCATTTACAGAGCAGCAATAGCTAGGCTCCTCTCTTCCTATCAACGCCAGCTTTTTTTTAAGTATTTCCAGAGTCTCCCAGGAGGAAAGCCTCATTCCAGACAAGCTAGAGAGGCTCCTTCTTTGTACTACCAAGTTAGTTTCCCTCCCTCCCCAACAGATGTCTCTCCCAACATAGAATCATAGAAACATGGTAATTTCTACTCAAAATAGCAGAATAAATGACGTTAAGCTACTGAATTCATGACTTCATGAATATTTTACTTTCAAAATATGCCCCAAGACCAAGAAGCTTGTAATTGGTTTTTTTCCTTTCTATGCAGCTTTGTTAGACAAACACAGAACTGTAAAAAGTTTTAAAATAAAGCTTACCCTAACTCCCATACAACACATTTGCGCCACACTGCACCAAAATTCTACATGTTCTACTGTCTTACATACAGCACTTCACCCCAATAAAGTCACTATTTACGCTTATCACAACCCAATCTAGTCAGCTATATACACATATGGACAGTACATGGTAAACCCGAGTCACAGGAAAGAAAAGCAGATTTAATCTTCTATGAGGTAGTGCTTACTTATTTGCCATTACTAAATGTAAAGCATCCTTTGGCAGGCATCAAAGCGAAAAGGATGCAAGGGTAGCCAATGCACACATATATATAAAAATCTAGACGCTTTTTAGAAGAATTTAATTTAGAAGAATTAAAGCATCTTAATGGTAATTAATGTATAATTATAGACAAACCCACATTTATGTTTACTTGTTTATGGAGACACATTTCAATCAAATTTATTCCTGTGGACACATTTCCCGAAACAGTGCTGTGCTTTCACCCATACTGTTAAGAACACTGCACCTCCCCCAGAGTTCCCAGTATTCGTCGTTGCAGATGAACAGTGCTGTAATAGCAGGAATTCTGCTATAACAGAGTATCAAGATATTCCAACAAACAAGAAAACTGAATAGAAAGGAAGGAAAGAGTTTTCTCACCACTACAAAATACAGAGAATACGCAAGGCTATTTCCAGCTAACACCCTGCTAAAACCCAGCAGAGACCTCTCCCCAAGGCCTCGGTTAACGCGACGTTGTTCAGGCCTTTTTTCCTGAAATCTATCCGGAACAACGCTGAATGTCCTGTCTCATCGACCTCCCCGTCATGACCCCACCGCAGCCGGGGGGAACCCGCTGCCCGCCCGGGGCCTGACCCCCACAGCTCCTTCCGCACGGCGGGGGGGGGAAGGTAGGACAGCAGAGCTCCAGCGTCGCTGGCCGCGCCTCCCCCCAACCCTTTCCCAGGCTGAACCACAGCTGCCTCCCCGAGACACCCCTGAGCGATGCCCGCCAACGACGGG